GGAACGGAGCGACGCCCCCATCTGAAAACAAATATAAGCAAGGACCGCAAGGTTAAGAGCTAATCCCGCGGCACGTAGGCGCCTCTTCCCCGAACCCCCAAAGGAGCGCGCCCCAAAATCTCGGCTGCAAAGGCGCAACGGCCGGGCGCGTCCATTGCAGGGATGCGCCCGCCTTTGCGCACCCCTCCTGTAGCTCTCCGAATTGGCACCGGTTCCTCCGAGAGGACGTTGCTTGTTCAGCAAACCCGGCACCTGGTCCTGACAGACAGGGGGGGGCTACCCGCCTGCCCAAGAGCACCCCACCGCTTGGGAAAGCTCACACCTGTCTTCGTGGCTCCCTTCCCTTATCCGCCATCCTCCCTCCCATTGCAAAAGCCCTGACACACCTCTCTGGTCACTGCGGGGCGAACGCAGGCAGGAGAGACGGCGAAAGCGCCTCGAAAGGCGCGCTGGAGCTGCGGTATACTCGCCGAGGTCACTGGAACAGCGGCCCCTTTGCCCAAAGCGCCCCCCCTCCGGGACCATACGTACGGTCCGAGAGAGAAGCGGACGCGGCGGCTTCCTCAGATAAGGAGGAATGTCCGCAGAACGCTCGAGGACAAGCCCCCCCCCCGCCGCCGCAACAGGCAAGAGCCAAGCCAATCGAACCACTCTACGAGCTCGAAGGAAAACACTGAGGGGGGGGGTCTACGGACGATTCCTAGAAGGATCTCGGGTCGCTCCGCTGTCGCGCAAGCGCGTAGCCAATCCGCTTGAGAACAATCGAACCCCCCCCCCCGCGTTCTAAAAGGCGTGGCCCGACGCCCGAAAACAACCTGAAGAACGTTCTGTTGTTGATTTCCGACTTCCTGCAATTCCTGACGGGCGGTCGATCACGTGCGCGCTCGGCCCGTCTTCTCTTTCAGGTTTCCAGAGGCGCCGCCTCTTCTCGGCGCCCGCGGTCCTTCGGTTGGAATAAGCATAAGGGACCCCTCGATGCTCAGAGAATGGAAGAGGGAAGTGATTCAGTCCGCGCTCCTCGTGACACCACCACCCCCCCCCCAGACATCTTTCTGCAACGATAATAGCAGTAAGATGCACCCCCGAGGCATTACTGAATTAGAATTACTGTAATCAGCAAATTCCGTCCAGTTGGGGATTTAATTGGAGCTGTACGTTTCTTGAAGCTTAGAATAACTACAGCATAACTTCAGTATTTTCGTCAGTAACTTTTTGTGAAAAGAACCTTCTTACCTACTAATGTACATTTGCCGCAGAAATTTTACTTTGTTCTCCTTTTTAAAGTTCTAGACTCTTGTTTACATTCTTCTGCTAATTAGGGACAACACATAGATGGTTTCTAGTCTACGGTTTGTTTGTTTTTAGAAGCAGTGGCTTTCAAGCCACAGAGACTGAATCTGTCACAATCCTGAAAAGAACATGCCAACAAATATGGGGGGAGAAAAAGGTCCACAAACTGACAATATTCAATATACTGTACATTCCAATCCCAAAGAAAGGAGATGCCAAGGAATATAGTAGGTATAGGACCATTTATTTTCCCTTCAAGCAAAGTGATACTCGAGTTGCGACAAAATTTATGGCGCCTGCCGTTCAAGCTGTATTCTGAAAAGAAAGAGGCACTTGAGATCATATTGCAAACATCCACTAGCTACTGGAGCACAGCAAACAATTTCATAATGCTTTATAATAATCACCTTGGGATTGTGCAGCTTCCGGAGGGCACACAGGGTGGCTTTACTCACAGAAGGCAAAGTGGAGATTCAAACTCCTAACCTTTGGCTCCACAGCCGGATAAAAAAACTTTATATACTACAACAAAGCCTTTGAGAAACTACGAGTTGTTATGAAAAATAGGTGTACCTCAGGGTGTGTGTCCGTAGTTGACTGAGCTTTTGAACCCAGGCCTCCTGAATCCTAGTCCACTACACCACACTGGGTATCCTTAATCTTTATAAAGTCCTTTAAATCACTCACTCCCTGATATGGATATAAATGTACAGTATACTGAGAAAGATTCTAGAACTAAAACATGTTTATTTCCAAACTAATCAGTGAGGGACTAACCTTAGTGGTTACTCTAAAGGCCTGGTACTTATCTGATAATGAGTATATAAATTTGGTGTATCAACATGGACACCCCACAGGATTTTGGCCAATGAGCAAATTTGGTGTATCAACATGGACACCCCACCCCACAGGATTTTGGCCAATGAGTTTCTCACTAAAAAAGCCAATCCTTCCTAAAAAGACTGTCTGCTTTTACTAATGCTTTCAATGTTGGAAATGATAAGGTGGAACTCAGCTTATTTATTGAAAATATTTTACCCCACCTTTCTCTTTAAAAAGGACCCAAGGTGGCTTACAACAGTGAAAGAGAATACTTAAAGTTGAAAACAATTAGTATAGACCAGCGGTTAACACCACTAAAAGATGGTATTTAAAACTATGAATAATGAACAAGAAGGCATCTTACATCATTAAAGGGCAATATTAAAGCAAAGATCAATAAGCATACAATTTTTTAATGTCACTCTGAGAAACAGAAAACACAAAAATGGAAAACAGAAGTAGTACTAAAAATCCAGTCAAAGCAGTAATACATGACAATCTATCTAAAAATCACACACACAAGTAGCTGGTTCAGTAATGCATGACTATCTAAAAATCACACACAAGTAGTTGGTTACTGAGGGAACGCTTGCCTGAAAAGAAAGGTTTTTGCCTGGCGGGAATGCTTGCCTGAAAAGAAAGGTTTTTGCCTGACTGTGGAAGGGTAGCAAAGATAGGGCTGGCATGGCCTCCAGTGGGAGGGAGTTCCAAAGTCTGGGAACAGGAACAGAAAAGGCTCTCCCCTGTGTCTCCATCAGATGCACTTGTAAACTCTGTAACCAGCCCCAGTCAACCTTCTGGCTGATGCATTTCACAACAGCTGAAGTTTCCTGACACTTTCCATCAGCAGCCCCACATAGAGTGCATTACAGTAATTCAGCTGGGAAGTAACTAGTGTGTGTATCAGAGTGGCCAGATCAGAACGCTAACAAAATTGACGTAGGGGTCTCCACTAGTTTTAATTGTGCAAATGTACTCCTGGCCATCAGTGAGACCTGGACACCCAGGTTCAGGGATGAATCCAAGAGGAAGAGTAAGAGAGAAGTGACTTCAGGTTTTCCAAACTGTCCTTTACTGCTCTGAGCTGTGCTCACCTTAGTTCAACATTAGATTGTTATTCTTAGGGTAGCTGATGTGAGACTTACTTCTTTCTTACACTTCTCTCTTGCCCTTCTGAGCAGGAGACATCTTGCCTTCATTCCCTGGAGATTAAAGGGCCAGCATTTATTTTCCCTTCAAGCAAAGTAGCTATAGGACCATTTAGGACTTCAGACATCTCCAAAGTAACGATATTTAGCTTGAACTGTCACCTTTCCTATCTCGTGTATGTTTCTCTAATAAACACAAACCTTATTTTCTTTATAGATGCCATTCCTCTACAAAGGGGGAAGTGTGCTCGGGTCATCACTGCAAGTTCCAAAGGGATGAATCCACAAGTTAATGCTCCTGAACCGCTTCATGCATGCTCTCCAACATTCAGTGCGGTCCTAGTCTTTTCAGGATGTTTCCTCAGCCTGAAGAAAATATTGAAGTTAGCTCTCTGTAATCAAACACCTGTAAGCAGAAGCCTGTCTGGCAGTTAAATGTTGCGCCTTAAATTCTTAATTGTTTTCTCTTCTTTGATTGGATGTTGCTTTGCTAAGTTGATTTTAGGTGGTTAATTTACCTGTCTATCATACAGTGTGCTTGTGAAATATACAGAACACTGCAGAAGTGTACCTATTTTGAAACTGCTGCAATGTTTTTATTCTAAAGTAACGTTCAATGCCTTCATCTTACAAACACTCTTGATGTTAAGTTCTTTGACTGTGGATGTACCTTTAAGTTACTTCTGCAAATATTTTTGATTTGGCTTTCTTAAATTGGCTTATTTGTTCAATGATCTTTTAATTTGTTTGTTCAAGATATCAAGTATTTCTAACTTGTGTCTTAGGTGTCTCAAGTACTTTAACATGGATTTTGGCCATATTTCAAAAGAAAGCTCAGAGGAAGTTACCTTTGAAAAATAATTAGTTAGGTTATGACTCCAGGTCCACTGTAATTATTATATTTACTATTTTTGCAAGCTACTGTTTCCCTAAATTTTTCAGACAGAGTTAACTTTCAAAGACCACCCTGCTACAATCCCTCTGTCAATGGTATATTTGCATCCTCTGTTGTTTTGTTATATTTCATCAGACCAAATCAATATACAGTATTCCAATATATCAGCAGAGACCAATCCCTAGCCTCTGAATGCTTGTTTGTTTTTAAATTAATTCATGCAATACATTATGTAGCTTTCAGGTTCTAATCTAAATGTTTCTATTAATTTGAGAAGTCAATGGATATATAGACACTGCATTATGTTTTGGCATTTTTAAATGCCAAGTTTAGAGTTTATGACTGATCTGGAAGAAAATAACTTTGACAGAGTTGTTTGGGATGACCAGTTTTTACTTTGGTAATTTTAGAACAAAGGTGTAAGCAAGGAGAAATTTGAAATATGTAAATGAGAACTGTAACACCTGAGTAAAGAATTTCAAGAGCTTGCTCTCTCTGTATAGTTTCTAAGTGAAAAAGAAATGTGAACGATCTAGATCCTTCTAAGTAAAGGTGGTTAGGGAGAAACTTATCTATTGAAAATCTGATGAAAAATGCCCTCTCCCTCCCTCAAATATTTAGCTTCCCTAAAATGCTAGGGAGGGGACTTTTCTAATCTTATCCACAGACACTCCTGAGCAAACTTTCTGGAGGCTACTGGGGATAAAACTCTCTGT